CAAAGATATTTTAGTTGTATTTTTTCACTCATATTTTTGTAATATTTTATTAAAACTTCTAAAGCACCACTCTGCAGATGGTTGTATGCATATTGCATCAGAAATAAACTATAGATGGGCAGCTTGACGAAGAATATTGCGTTTTTCCATTCAACATGAAGAGGATTTTGTTTTAGAAGTTTATTTTTAATACAAATATAAACATGTATTTTTTTTGTGAGGCATAGTCCGTAGCGCACGGTACGTTGAAATGGGGAGAGATAGAACGAAAGAATGACAGAGAGGGAGAGAGAGAGAGAGGGAGACAGAGTGAGAGAGAGAGATGGAGAGATAGAAAGAGATAGAGAGAGAGAGAGCATCTTTGTAGCAGCTAGTAGTCCTAATTAGTTGTTTGATAGAGTAGAGTGGACCAGCATATGCCGCTTTCTGGTTTAAGGGTAGAGAAGAACGACCTCGAAAATTTTTTTTCTACAATGATATTTGAAAACCCCGGTACGTGCGTGTAGTATTATCCTTCGATTTGGTACCGGGTTTTTGCTCTTCTCTGTTCGTTTCAAGTAAATTCTCATAGACTTAAATATAATAATATTTTTTAAAAAAAGTAAATTTTGAAATGAAATAATCTAACACGTTTGATATGTCGTAAAATCAAGCACCTGCACTCACTCACCGCATTCAACTTATCGAATAAAGGTGACAGTTTATAGCCAAGACAGAACTGTTGGGTAGGCAACTCAGTCAATGTTTTTATTACTTCTTTTGTTGCTATTAACATGTTTAAAATTTCTACCTTGAAAAAATCAGTTGTTTACTATAAGGGTGCAGGGGCTTTATTTGGAAATTTTATTTCACAACGATGTATCTTATTTTTCAGCCTGTAAAATGCATTTCTTTTAAAAAAAAAATGTGACCCTCAGATAACGGCGAAGGTCAAGGGCTTGAGCCAAAATTGTAAATCTTAACTCGGGGGTTCAGGTTCTGGCCATGCAATCTATCGGTTTTATTTTTCCAGTATATTTCATTTTAAATTTTGGATGTGACTTCAGTCAGTTAAGATATATGCCTGATGAAACAGACTTTTTCCCACAGTAGGTTTCCATTTTCTGCGGTAGACTGGTCGCCAACGAAGGCTAAATAACCCAGTCTGTCCTGATATTCAACCCATAGCTGGGGGAGAAGAGATGGATTCATACCTTTACCAAGGGTATTTGTGCGTAGATAAATCTAACGAACCCGGGTGGGATTCGAACTCGTTAGATTCACTCGTTAGATGTAACTTATATACCTGAAAATATGAGAAATCTGTCTTTACTTGGGTTTCTCACTAATCAGTGATCCCGACGAGGAGATTATCTGCAGATTCATATTTTCGACAACACTTGAAAGAAAGCTGGAATATATTTACAAAATGCGGGAACGTATTTTTTTTTTCATTCGAATTTGCTTGACAATCTGACGTAAACTTAAAAATAAAAGAAATACACTGATTAAAATTAGGTGATTCAAAAGCAATAGTATAAGTTATTTTTTATTCCAGTCAATATCAATCAATATTTATGGTCAACCTGAAGGCTTTTATGCATAATTCTCGACTCAGATAAGCAATATTAGAAAACACGTGCAAATGTACAAAAAAAAAAATAAATAAAGAAAGAAATAAATAAAATAAAAGGCGAAAATCAATAAAATATTTTTATAAAGGCCTGAAGTTTCATGTCGCATTACAAGAAAAACAAAATTACTTCCGCTGAATGAAAGATCAGATTTTTGTGAATCACTTGTGTAAGCGTAATACCTAATACAGAACTTTGTAAGGATAAAATTATATCAGGAAATTTTAAATCAAAATATTAAACTTTTCATAGATACATATATTTAGGAGAATCGTAAAGAATCCTTTCCTTAATCGCAAACTTCAGAAATTATCTTTTGATAAAACTGATGAACGTACTTCTAGACGACGACGTTTCCGATTATCAGAGACTTTATGTGAAATCTTTTTATGCAATTTCCCCGCCTTTTGTATCCCTGTCACATTTATTAAATGAGAAAGAACAAATCTTGCTGAAAGAGATCGTATTACTCTGCTAGATCGATCTTAAGTTTTGCCTAATTGGCAATAGATGGCATCATTAGTTAGAGATCAACGAGATTCATTTTAAATATGATCTCTCTAACGGAATTGTTAAAAACATATTTGGCTATTCGGCTATACTTTTTCTCAAATTCCTATGTTATCACTACTTTCGCTGAATGGCGTTTCAAATTTAATCCACACAAAAAGATTGGTCGTTTTTGTATTACATATGTTCTTAAAGTTTTAAAAACTTTAATAAATGAATCGAAAATTTATTATAGATACATCTACAATACGAATTAGTGCCATAACACTGTTTTATTTAAACCAAATCATGAACCACCGGAAGCTGTCACATATGATCCGATGATCCATCTATATATTTAGAGATTCTTGATAAAATCCAAAGAAGAATCAGCAATATTGTTGGTCCCGACCTGGAGTCTCGACTTCAGACACTTTCACACCGCCGTAAATTTGATTCCCTGTGCTTTTTCTATAAATACTTTCATGGTAATTCGTTATGGTACGGAAACTTTATGAATTTAAGCGCATTATAAGATTGACAACAAGATCTAGTCAATTTACAGATAAGTAAACAAGATGTAATCGTAATTTCTATGTTAACAATTTCTTTTCTTGCACTTCTTACTTGTGGAACACTCATCCGGCTCCATGCTTTCCAACCAACTTTGAACTTTGGAAATTTAAATACAATGCCAATCGTTATGTACGGTCTTCTTAATTATTGTTCTTTTAATGTTCTCTCTCCTTAATAGTAGATTTTCCCCTTGCGTCCTAGTGGATTTATTGCCTTTGATCTTCAAATTTTTTAGATGCAATGTCAATCGTTATCTATGGTCTTCTTGATTACTCTTCTTCTAGTGTTCGCCCGCTTTTTTCTTCTTCTTTCGTACACGGTAAACCCTTGTATCTTCGTGGCTTTACTAATAAAAGCTTTACTGATTAAAACAAAATTCCACCAAAATTCTATGATCGATTAGAATCACGAATCTATAACCATTTTAGGTTGTAGCATCATTAAATGCACGTCTGCCGCAGCAGATTCTTCAGGTTGTTCTAAATTCAGAGTTGTCCGTTTAGATTCGTTGCCCTAGCACAGCTTGAGTTCCGTTAGCCCTATTATTTCTTTCTTCTAAGCTGGTTGCCAACAAAGGCAAGATAGCCAAGTCTGCCTTGCTATTTAACCCATAATTGAAAAAAAAAATGAATTTATGTCTTTTCCAAAAGGGAATAGCGCGAAGTAAATGAAACAGACCTGTTCCGGATATGAACTCACTAGGCCGATTTCATGTTAATCGATAATCGTAACAATGTCCGCGCATCCAATCCAACGCTATTACTTAACGAGATCTCTATGAGTATACGGTACACAGGTTTATAAGAGAATCAAGTTTTCGATTCATCAGAGAATCAAATCTCTACACCTTGGCCACTTCGTTTCGAATCATTCGTCTCACCTGACTAAGTTAGTTTGCTGAACAGATTTCTTTTCACAAGTTGTTATTCTGCTCTGTAGAAATTCCTGATATTCTATCAATACTTTGTAATAACACGCGATCATGATCTCTCGAACTTGATCCGGCATTGCCCTGTCTTCCAAAGCTCAGTCAGCACATTGCAGGTGAAATGCTGTAAGAGGTTTTTAACAGCGGCTTTTTGCTATGGCTGCATCCAAAGGTAGCGTTATATGCGTTTGAATATTTGCCAAAAGACGATAAATGCGCAGTGATTTCATACTGCATTAACAAGAACGCCTTGTGGCTATTAATAGAAAGAAAGGAAACAAGGTAAGGTCAGTGAACATGCAAAGAAATGTCGAAAGAAAGAGAGACAGATGTTAGACAAACAATGAGATCGATTTCAAAAGTAATTCGAGATAAACATAGAAAATAAAGGAAGGAAAATTTGATTAGATAAAAATAAATGCAGAATGTAGAAATTTGATTTTAAGTATACACGGAATTCTGGAATTGAAAACAAAGGAAGGAGAAAAAAGAAAGAGTGAGTGTTGAAATGGATAAAGGAATGGGAAAATAAAAAAAAAATACGAAGGACTACTAAAATGAAAAGAAAGGAAGGAATGATAAACAAGAAAGAAATGAAAGAAAAAATAAAAGAAAAATGCAGAAAGAAAAATGAAAATGAAGTAATTAACACAAGAAGGAAATAAAGAAAGAAAAATAAAAAGGAATGAAAAAAAGAAATATAAAAATGAAAGAAATCAAGGAAGGAGAAAATCGAAATGAATGAATGAAGGAGAAAATAGGGAATAAATGAAGATGAAAATTGATATGAAGGAAGGACAAAAGGATATAAAGAAATAATAACAGGAAATGAATGTAGGGAGAAAAAAAATAGATACGAAAGAAGGAAGGAGAAAATTAAAATATGGGAATAAATAACTAGAAAGATATAAAGAAATGGCAAAATAGAAAGTAATGAATGTATTAAGAAAAATCAAAAAAGCGAAGAGAAAAAAGCGACGACAAAAACGAGAAAATAGAATTAAATAAAGTAAGGTTAAAATAGAAAGAAATGGAAAGGGAGAGAGAGAAACAAGAAATAAATAAAGGAATGAGTAAACAGAAAGAAATATATGAGAGAAAAAAGTAAGAAACTATGGAAAAAGAAAACAGAAAGAAAGAATAAGAATTGGAAAATAGAACCAAAGGAATGAAGATGAAAATGAAGGAATGGGAAAATAGAAGGTAATGAAGGCATAAAATATAGAAATGTGGGAAGGAAAAAATCGAAACGAATGAATGAAAAAAAAAAACGAAAAAGGGAGAAAAGCGAAAAAATGAAGAAAGGAAAAAATAAAAATTAAGCAATGGGAAAATAGAAGAAAATGAAGTCATGAAAAATACATATGAAGGTAGGAGAAATAGAAAGGAATGGATTAGTGAACAAAATTAATGAAAAAATGAGACAAGCGAATGAAACTAAAGAAGGAGATAATAGAAATGAAGGAATGGGAAAATTGAAGGTAATGAAGGAATGAAAAAAAGAATGTAGGAAGGAGAAAATAAAAACGAATGAATGAATGAAGGAAAAAATAAAGGAAAATGTGAATTGTGAAAGAAACGATGGAAGAAGAATATAAAAATGAAGGGATGGAAAAATAGAAGATAATGAAATCATGAAAAATAGAAATGTGGTAAAGAGAAAATAGAAAGTAATGAAGAAATAAAAACGAAATGAAAAAGTGGGAAAAGCGAAAGAATCGAAGGAAGTTGAAAATAAAAATGGAGGAATGAGAAAATAGAAATGTGGAAAGAGGAAAATAGAAAGGAATGAATGAATGAAAAATAAATGAAGATGTGAGGAAAGCGAAAGAAACTAAGGAAGAAGACAATAAAAATGGAGGAATGAGAAAATAGTATGTAATGTAGACATGAAAAAAGAAATGTGGTAAAGAGAAAATAGAAAGGAATGAAGGAATGAAAAAATAAAGGAAAAAGTGAGAAAACGAAAAAAAACGAAGGAAGTTGAAAATAAAAATGAAGGAATTGCAAAATCGAAGGTAATGAAAAATAGTAATGTGGCAAAGAGAAAATAGAAAAGAATGAATGAATGAAAAAGTGAGAAGAGCGAAAGAAACGAAGAAATGAATTCATACGTTTTCCACGTAATTTTACGTGACTGAATATAACGAACCCGAAGTAATTGGAACTCGGCTCTCCGAATTTCAATTCTGAGCAGTCTGCTCATGCAATCTTACTGCACCTGGTATTCGCAACTGGTATTTGTATATATATATATTATTTAAATTTCGTATAATCCATTAAGACTAACAATCCGAAAATGTATTAATGGGTATTAATGAAAAAGCATTAAGAAATATTTATTGTAAAGAAGGAAGTCTTAAAGGGGATGGGAAGAAAAACATTTTTATTAGAAACAGAAAATGAAAAATAAAGAGGAGAGAGGAAATAAAAAATTAACAGTGGGAAAATTGAATGATAAAATAACAGGGAGAAAAGAAAATGAAGATGAAAAGAGGCCATAGGAAAACAAATAAACAACACAATATCCAATGATGCATAGGTATGAATGAGAAAGGAAGAGAGAGATAGGGAGGGAGGGTGAAATTTAGAGAATGATGATTCAGGGGTCTATTGAGTGATACAAAAAAAATATAGAATAGGAAAAAATATTGAAGAACTCTAAGAAAACTGAGAGGATACGAGGGGTTAAAAATTAAGCTCGAATCAAAACGCCTAAAAGATCAAAACATAATCAAAAACCTTTCAAAATATTTTTGTCATTACCTGCTCTCAGTTTTCTGTAACATTTCTATTGAATCTTCCCTGCATTTTTATAATCTTTATTCGTTTTCCTTCAATCTCTTACTTGCTCCATAATTTTTCGATTCTTTTCTTCTTGGTTCAGACGTTATTTTTAAAAATACTTTGATCTCTTTATCCATCCTTACTTTGTCGTATTTAATGTTTTCCTTTTCTAAAAAATATTTACGTTTTATGCCAATTCCATTGTTTATCTCCACTGGATTCTGTTTATTCTGGTTTCTTGTCACTTCTGCCTCAAATGACAGAATTTGTTTCTCCTTTAAACAATCATGTACGATGAAGCACTAACATAAAAAGTAATGGCGTCTAAAGGGAGTGACCTTCCTCTGCCTGTATCTCTCTCACTCTCTCTCTCTCTCTCTCTTTATATATATATATATATATATATATATATATATATATATATATATATATATATATATATATATATATATTATAGCTGGCCAATCGTGTTCGAGGATAGCCGTCTACTAGGGTGGCTAGACAATCCCGATTGGTTTATACTGCAACTAAACTGAGCAGAACTTAGTTGGATTTCATTACAAAAGGTATACCCCGCATTAGCTAAATTGGCTTTATCAATTTTATTGCAATTTCCTATTTTTTGTTTATGTGAATTAGGTTTTTTACAAACATAAATAACATCAACAATAAGAAGCGAGAAAGTCTACCCTCAACTGAAGAAGAAATGAGGATCTGCTTCTTGCACATTCGACTTAACATTGAGAAATTGCGAAAAAATATCAGGCACAGGATTCACACGAAATAAGCTACACAAGTATTTGAATAGAAACATTGAAATACAGTTGTTATTTATGTGTGTAATTTAAAAAAAAATCTTATTTTATTTCATATCATTTAAATGTATGCACTTTAACAATTTTTCTAAGTGTCCCGTGATATTTTAATTTGCTTCTAGGTGTGTCGTTGCTTTAAATGTTTGAGAAACTCTGGCTTATATGATAAGATTTTAGAGAATAAAGACAATATGTTTATTCAAAAGAAGTACCAAAAAGAACATTATACTTTCTGAGATGATCACGTTTAGAGAGGAGTTCCTTTCAGTTAAGCCGTCTAAAAATATTTCCGTTTGAAATTAACTTTTCATCATATCATCAAAGCATATTTCCAGATTTTTTCCTTCCACGGGGAAAAAAAAAAAACAAAAAAAACAAATTGAAAATCAACTTTTTTTTTTTCACCCCAAGCAAGGCGGGAAGCCACTAGGATGCAATGGGGTTACAGAAGATTTGGAGCAAGATCAGATAGGAGTGATAGAGGAAAGGATGAGGAGAAGGATAGTGGATAGATCAAGGCAACTGGAGATGTCGATTGACATTACATTTGAATAGTTGGAGGTTATAACTCTCAGGAAAACTGGAATAGGGAAGGGAGTTCCACAGGCGAGAGGTGCGGGACATGAAGCTATTGGAGTAGAAGAGACGGCTACATTTAGGAGTTTCGACAGTGAAAGGGTGAGAGCGGGATGTCAGCCTCGTAGGGCGCTTGAACTCATGAAGTCTGGGAACCAGCATATGTAGCTCCTCAGAGCAATTGCCATGAAAGTATTTGTAAAACAGACAGAGAGAGGCGACGGCGCGTCTGTGAGAAAGTGACTGTAGACGAGATGCCAGATCAGGGCCAATTATATTGCATATCGGCCTCTGAAGCCTATCAAGAACCCCTAGGCAAACAGAAGGGGCTCCAGACCATATATGGCAGCAATAAGTTTAAATTTTAATATTATTTTCTATTTTTCGAACACATTCCGAATCACTGAGTTTAATTGCGGAAAAGTTATTTTCTCTCTCGTTATATTCGACATTTGAGGTTCCAACAATTTAGCTTTTAGAACTGAACCACAGGACTACATGAACATGATTTGATTATTGTTGAAACTTGACTAACGCATGGAATAATATTGCAACACAAAATGTACTTAGAACAAAATGTATTGAAACAAGAAAGTGTACACAATATTTACATATAGTCTTTTGTATATTCCTGGTAAGACCGTTCCTGGAGAATGTGTTGACTGAGTCGCAGTCGGGCAGAGTTTCTGGTTGAATCTCTTCCTCTCTTCCCGGTACCAACCATATTTATATGGTCGGTACTCCACTATGCAAATTAGGTGGATCCTACCACAACAATTATAGTGCTGGAAGCTTGTGTAGTAACAACCACTCTTCACAGGAGCAATAAATACAGAAAATTGATACACATAATCTCCAAACAATCCTCCTCATGTTTGTGAATTCAGAGGTATTCAGTCGCCTAGTCAGGTTAAACAATCTTGTATTCCCCATTTAAAAACCCACAGTTGGAAAGTGAAGAGTTAGATTCCTAGCTTACCAAACGTATATCTGCGCGTAAATGAATGTAATGAGACCAACTAAAATTCCAAATCGGCACTTCGATTTCTTATTCCGAGCCGCTATCCATTAAACTCACGCACATCCATATTTTCTCCATAAGAGATATAAAATATCAACATCAATAGATAATTTCTATCAAAACAATATCGATAATTGATTGGTTGATTTTTCTTTTACGGTTTATCAAGTTTCAAAATCGAAACATTATTTCAGATTGGTCCCTTCCATTACTCTGTGTTCCAAAGTGGTCCCCCATCTACGTACTGACCGATTTAAATGCTGCTTAACTTTGGGGAACACTATCGATGAAAACTGATTTAATTGATTTATGATTTCCTTGCAAAAATATTGTTTTAATATCTGCGTGAAGTTGTTCTTTTTATTCTCGTGAGATCTGCAGTTTTCATTAAAAACAAACAAGACAATAGCTTTCCATTATCGTGCAGGACAGACATAGGTATAAATATTGGATGGCCTAACAAGTAAAATTATGCATGATATAGATTATCGCGATAGAGTTACCACGCCTATGTCCACACTGCTAACATTTGCATACGCTCTGTTCCATACACTGACATATATATATATATGTATATAGGCAGCATATTTTCATTCTAGCATGTTTAGTTAAATGATTTAGAAGTAAAGAGTTAAAAATATTTTGAAATTGCAGTGTTAATGCAAAACACATCCACAGATATGCAACCCCTGAAGAAGGCCTCAGATGAGATTGAAAGTACCTGAAAAAATAGAAGTTATTTGAAAAATAACTTAGGAAATTTTCTTACTCAGTTTTCTACACCCACCAAGAAATTAATTCGTAGACTTGAAAGGATTAAAACTAAAATAAATAAACATAATGCGCCTAAATTATTTTAACATGCTTGAATACATACATGCATATATATATATATATATATATATATATATATATATATATATATATATCAAGAAGTAAACCTTAAAGATTCATTTCGGTTATAATTTATTTCGTGAATATCTATAAAATCAACTCTTCAGATCGAAAGCTGTTAGTAAATGGAGACACTACCTGCTAATGTTGTGTTTTTTCTGCCTGAAATAACGGGCCATATCTGTCAATCTGCTTTATAATCCGATGCACAACATTCCACACGTTAAGGGCACAATTCCTGACCGGGTCAGTTCTTTTAGGCTTACTATTTACCATTCATTACTTCCTTCTTTACTTTCTTTTCCATAACCTCTGTATATCTCACTGTTTAAAGAAACTTTTCTTCTTCCCCTTCTTCTCTTCTCTCTTGCTTTCCATTCTCTAATTTCAATATAACAGTCAATGCTATTGTCTTCATTTCCTAAAAGATTTCGGTCTCAAGAGTTACATATATAGATATTTACGAAATAAATTATAACCAAAATGAATCTTTAAGATTTTCATTTTGATTATTATTATTATTATTATTATTATTATTATTATTATAATGCTTTGTAGTCTGCATTCAGCTCTCTCTGAATTAATATCATCCTTACCAGACACCAATTATTATTATTATTAATATATATATATATATATATATATATATATATATATATATATAACCACACACACACGCACATATATAGATATATCTCAGTATCAACTTCTATATTTGCAAACACTCTGTCACTGATAATGATCGCTTTTTCATATAAATATAACATAACATAAAATTTTATTTTTATTTATCTATCCAGAGAGAGAGAGAGAGAGAGAGAGAGAGAGAGAGAGAGAGAGAGAGAGAGAGAGAGAGACCTAGAAATATAAAGAAACACCTAGACCGGATCTTAGAGATTCAGATAGAGTTATTCATAGAGAGAGCATATATATATATATATATATATATATATATATATATATATATGTATGTGTGTGTGTGTGTATATATATATATATATATATATATATATATATAT